TAAAATCAGAGTTCGAAAATAAACGAAATGAATCGTATTGTTTTGTTTCGTTTCTCTCATAACAGAGAGCAAAACAACCGAAACCCAAACAAATAAAATTTTAGTTGTATTAAGTTTTGTTCTGCTTTTGTGCGCGAGTGCAAACGAAACAAAAGCATAAAGTGCGCAGCTGGGTGAGACAAAACTCTCAGGAATGATTCGCAAACGTTTGCTTGGCGATTTGCTCATTACCAGAGTTCGAAAATAAATGAAATGAATCTTATTGACTCTAGTTGAATTGGGTTTTGTTCTACCTCAAGTGCGCAGCTGGGCGAGGTAAAATTCGCAGGAATAATTCTCAAACGTTTGCTTGATATCATACTTACAAAGAATGAAATGGAAAAGTCGGTTAATTTGGGAAACCCACCTATTTAGATATTTAAATGTACTATATATGAATTTACATACATACATATATGTATGTATTTGCAAACTTAGTAATTGGTAATATGTACTATAGAAAACCATGTTGATACTGTGGAAATATATTAAAAATTCATATTAGGGCTTGACTTTTCTGATTTACCTATATATTAGGATATCAAATCTTAATCTTAATTCTTAACGTTTGCGAACTAACTGCCAACTAACTAACAGCAAAACTAAGAAGTTGCATGTTTCAATTCCTGCATGATTTCTATGGTAATGGGTTTTGAAATTACTCTCATTGTTGCGTTTTGTGTACTATACATACAAGAATGATAGAATACAAGATTGCGCCAATGAAAGGATTTTTGAGCGTAATTTTTGCGTGACGTCATCTTGGTGCAAATGCGAGAGAAATGCCAAAACGCATAGAAAAATATGTAAACAATGCAATGTGTTAATTTTAATATTACATGGCCCAATTTTGCAGGAATCAATAAATATACAAAGATCGATTAATTAGGAACACGTAGCAATAATTTTGGACATGTAGCCCTTTAGGTAAGTACGATTTTTAGCACATGAAAAAATGGATGTGTTAAGAGTGTTTGCAATTTCATGTAGACCAAAAGGAAGGTGTGCAGCAATGTGAATTTTTGGACTCGCCATTGTAAAAAGCAATTCAGAGTGCATATTTATATTTGTGGACGGTAGCCAACCACCATAAACTCCACAGCTGTTGACTCCACAGCTTTATATAACTATATAAATGCAAATGGTTACCTGCAGTGGCAACGGCAGTCTCACTCTGCTCAAGTAACTTGCTGACAATTATTTTGTTTTCCCTGTGCTGAGCTCTTTCAGCACGCTGGGAACCCCCCAGATTTTCTTCGTAAATAGTAGGCACCGCACCATGTTTTAAACGACGAAGTTTGGCAAAACCTAAGGCGGTTACGAAAACGATATTAACAGGTCTATTCTGCGCTGGTAATAAAAAGTTTGTAACCGGTAAATAAAGCTCCTGTCAATTTTTAAACCCTTTTCGCATTCTGTGTACTCTTGTAACCGGTAAATTTTGTTACCATCTCATAAGCTGGTAACAAAGTATTGCCCCGTGAAATATGCAATGCCAGAATTTGCACAATTCTTCATAGCTGAATTGCTGAATACTTAAACTGCATTACCAACGTTCCTAGAATCGCGGTGACAAGAACTGGTAACATTTTTTGGTAATAAAAATTTCCGGTTACAAAATCTTCGGTAACGTGCAGAATAGACCTGTAAATGCAATTAATATGAAAATACACAATATGTTACCCATTTCGAACTGTGTATTATTTTCAATATCTTCACTAGTAAAGTGCTTCGTGCCCACATAGCTCGATTTGGTGTTTAATGCATAATCGCCGGCGGAACTTCTTCCACTTTTTCGCCAGGTTCGCGTCCGTAGGAAACGAAAAAAAACTTATATCGCATGCTTTCCTTTTCTTTTCACTATTACACTTTGCCACTGCACACTTCAATTTGCTTTGCAATGTCTCAATAATTGTTTAAAACCACGCAGAAACATTAACGCACAAATATTAAAATTGTTATTTGGTTTTTTCGAATGCTCACAATCAAAAGTTGCACCAAGATAACGTCACGCACACAGCTGATTCTGTCAAAATCACAAAGAGCGGATTAGCGGTACCGCGATTGGCGCAATCTCTATCTCCCTCAATTGTGCTAGTTTTGGTTTTGCTCATGTACAAAACGATTCGAATTGATCGCAAAGTTTTGTATCACTTCCGGCTGAGCAAGCAAAGAGTGCAGACGGCTTTTTCTGTGCAAAATTACCAAGGATTTATTCTATTATCAGACAGCTTGAGTTTTTGATTAAAATAGTGAAAAACTATAACAAACAGTGTGTGGCAACGTGGGGCAGTCCCAAGGTAAGCTGCATCGTACTTTTCATACATTTTTTTTACGTTTTTGTGAATTTTACAAACAACTGTGTGCAAACAAAGTGAAGCGTGGTTTAGAGGACAGGTTAGGTGACGTCATGGCGTCAAAAGTGTTAGCAGAAGGTGAAAATGATGGTGAGATTAAAGAGGCACCACCGATAGTTAATCGTTCCAAAAGAAAGAAAAAATCTGAAAGTGGATTTGCAGTTTTTTAATAGTGTAGAGCCCATGGAAAATGAGGAAGCTGAAAATACAGTTGCTACCATAGCAAACGGTACTAAGGAAGCGTTAGACAATAGTACAGTTAGCAAAAGTACTGCTACTTCAGGCATGTTTGTAAGCAAAGATGACGCGAAAAGAGAAACGGTTTTTTACCCAGCAAACCACAAGGGCAAGGCATATGTGTTTTTTGATACTTCTGTAGCGGAAAGCGTTCAGAACAAGAGGGTACGAAATGGGTTATATCTGTGGGGGAAAGTAAAGCATTTTAATAGTGATGGCATCGACACTATAAAAGCGATTGGTATTACCCTGTATAGGGTAACTTTTGAGTACGTTGTTTTCGCAAATAGATGCGTAAATAATGAAATTCTGAAAGCCAACAATATTAAGGGCCGGTTACTCAATGTCTGGTTTACACTAATCTGCGGTTAAACATCGTTATCGACGTCTTCGACTCCATGCATACAACAGGGACTCGGTAACGTCGATAACTATGTTTCACCGGAGATTAGTGTTAACCAGACATTGAGTAACCGGCCCTAAGGCGTTTATACCAAGAAACTACATTGAATCGTACGGAGTTATTAGGAGCATCCCAATTGAGTATTCGGACGTAGAAATTAAAGAAGGCCTAATATCCGTGGCAAAAATTACATCTATTCAAAGATTGACAAGAAGGGAAAGCAGGGAGTGTGACAACAGGGTGCCGACTCTGTCGGTCAAAGTTGGGTTCTCTGGGGACAACATCCCGAACAGTGTAATTCTGGATCATACGATTCTAGAGGTTCACTACTTTTTTCCCATGCTAAAACAATGCTACATGAGCGGCAGATTAGGGCACACACAAAAAGCGTGCAAATTGGAAAAACGATGTCTCAAGTGCGGCAAAAAGGAGGAGTGCAGAGGGTTGTGTGACTCCGTGAAATGCATCCTATGCGGTGACACAACACATATAGCCTTTGATAGAAATAGATGCCCAGAGTGGGATAGAGGATCAGTTAGTAAAAAGGATGACCCTAAAAAAACAAACCAGAAAAGAAGTTATTAATGAAATTAAGGCAGAGTCGTCGAATAGATTTGAGATCCTTAGTGAAGAACATTTCCCTGAACTTGACAGGCAACATCATCCTTTTAAAAATAACCAAAATTAAATTAAAAAATAGAAAAGAATAACGTCTGAAATGACAAAGTTTGCAAGAGACGCCTTTCGTAAAGTAAATTTCCCTGCAGGTGTTAATGCCTTTGTCCACTTCAACGAGAGATTGAAGCAAAAATTTTCGAGCCTGGAGAGTGGAGAAATTAGTAGAGGGCAAGAGGAAGAAGTAGAAATATCGAATGAAAGTGCTGCAATATAATTGCCAGTCTTTGAAAAAAACTCTAACAACATTGATTTCTTTGTAAACGAAAAAAACTTTGTCTCAGTGAGGTCTTCTCACATGAT